ACGGACGATTGGAACAATGCTTATTGGAATATGGAAGAGAATTCGTTGTGGGCCGACAGTCCATTCACTTTGGCTGAGTTCATGGCACTCAGGCAGCCTGACAGGGGACTTTGCTACCAAGCTGCCACAGCATTTTTTCCACTAGTGGTTATAATAGACTAATTGGCATCAAACAAGTGTCCAAAACCTTTGCAGGGGTGATACCCGTGGATCTGTCCCAGATCCTTTGGTGACGGCTCCAGGATTCCATCCATCTGCGATAAGATGGTGCTCAATGCACATTCTGAATTTAGGGCTGCTATTCAGGTCAAACGCCTTGATTGGGTGGTGTGCCCAGCCTCCAGCCCCCAAAACCACTAACTTCTCCAACTGGGTTTCCGTGCGTTCTGCTGAATTTGATTGAATTTGGCCTCCACCCACTCCTGCATTGGGCTAGCCAAGGATTCTATTGATCGAGGACCTCAAGTATTTTGGAAACGATGATTCATTCAAAGATTGCCTGGACAATGCCTGGATCCACTTCAAGGAGTACTTAAAAACTTCAAAGATTCGATGTTCTCAACCAAAGTTCAAAGAAAAAATGGTAGCTGGATTGCAGGAAACATGTGGGCTAGCTAGTTCTAGTTCGTTCCCATGTTCTAGTGGGTTTGTCTTCATGCAGCCTGAGGTGAGAAAAAAGGACAACGAAATCTGCTGGACCCACAAGGCCTACAATGGCCGCGTGGTATTGGAGTGGCTGAGTTGGTGTTTGGAGGATTGCTGGAAGAACCATCCAGAGCTTCGAAGTCATCGTTTGATGCTGACATTCCATGCCCAGCCCCTTTGACATAATTTTCCCTTAATCAATCCTGCCCTTCTCCCTTGCAAGACACTAGCTTGTGTGCGGTCCTTGCCCAAGGAGAAGCATGGCCAGGTTCATGGGCTTTATGGAAAGGTCCAAACGTTTCATGTGCCTAGGTTTGATCATCTATGATTATTGTCTACAGCTGGGAAGTGATAATCTATAGATCGATACTGTTTGGTTCGCTTCTGTTTTCTGAGGACCCCTTCGACGGCAAACCAAATGTTCCGAGAAGGTCGTGAATATGTCAATGCCTATCTTGCGCTCAACGATATGGCAGTAAGGCAGGCTTCTCCTTTGAAAGTACCTAGATGTGTACCTACCTATATAGCTTCTTCCATGAAAGATGTTCTTGATTGATCCCTCCAATGCACCAGGGATGGAAGAAAAGAATGGCTAGTCACTCCTAAAGTGCATGTCCCTTGGTTGCATTTGCGTGCATGAGATCACACCATGTGTACATAGTGGTCATGGCTTTGCATGAGGCTTTTGGGCACCTGATCCATCATGTACGCAAGCACTTGGAGAATCCTCGTTTCTGGCATACATATGCCGATGAGGGTTCAATGAAATGGAGCAAGAGTCATGTGGCTGCATGGATCTTTATTTACGCTGTAGATGGGTCGCGCACAACGCTTAAGAGGTGTTTGAGTTGATCATCTTAGGCATCGCTACATTCGCAAAGCCGAAAACAAGACACATGTGGCTCCTACGCTGCTTGAAGCTTCGGATTCGATCGATGGGAATACGGATCTCAAAGCCACTTGATGCTACATATGTATGGGCTTTGTGCTGCATGTCTTGTAGTGCAAACTTGGTTTGATCTTGGGAATCTAAGGCTCAATTCTAAAGCACAATCAAGTGACAATGCCGATCGCGATGGGTAGAGAAAGAGCGTGATTGTGCGTGAGAGGGTTCCATGTTGAAACAAGCAAAACAATACGGGTTGTGGCAACCGGCATTCTTTTAATGCTGGTATGAACGATGGGGTAGTCATTCTCCTCTGGACTATCTATCTTTTGAAGCTACATGCGAAGAGAATCGCCTCCGTCGTCACTCACCTTTTCACCTTGACCTGTTCGGAACCTGATCATCGCAGGAGGCGGAGAGTTCTGTCAAAGCTTGAGATGGCAGAACATCCTTGTGGTGGCACCACAGAGTGGAGTCAAGTGGGAAAAAGCAACACGAAAGTAACTGGAGTCTGGTACAAGTGAACATTTTTTGATTGATGATTGCCAGGAAATGCCCACTGCTAAGACCCATTTCACACAATACCAACTGAATTTTATCAATTTTGAAGAATTACTTTCTTCATTTATGGGGTTAACGACGATGATTTTCCGCAGGCTTGAGCGTGCTTGAGCAACGTTGTGGCTTTGAAGAAATTATTGATTTGATTGTTGTAGCTGAAGTCATCCTACTACAGTACATACCTGTAGATGGGAGGCCAATTTTTTAGCATGAACACGACGAACAATGCAAATACCTTGCAAGTATTTTCTTGGTAAATCCAGTGTTCTTCGGCACCTTTATGTGGCTTAACGCAGGTGCTTTGCAACGAAAGAAACTGTTCATTTCATCGGAGAAAGGCTGCGTTTGATCCACTCATTGTTGGAGGGTACCAACTCTTCCGCTCATCTCGCCTCATCACATGATGTCATATGAGTATATGGGGATGTGTTGACCCGGAACACTTGGCCACACTGGTGGACCTTTCAGCTTCAACCGGTCGGTCTCCTGGTGGCATGACCCACAGCCAAGGTTCCACCCTCAAGCACTCGTATCACGATATTGTTCCAAAGGTGGTTTTGCAGAAATATTGAGATATGCATCCCAAAAGTATTGGCTCCCAATTTGTCCATTTCAATCAGATAATAGGATTTGGTAATTCAAAGGTCAGTCGAGATATGCCAATGTGTTTTCTGTCCTTCAAACATTCTATGTTGACGAAACAGCACACACGAGCCCTGCAAGAGTTTCATTCGGGATCATCAGTTTCACTGTCGGGTGAACAGACGGCTTGGTGTAAAGAGTTTTACCGCCGTACAACGTGGGAGTGCAGGAGGAACGCCGTACAACGCGCCGCGCAGGCGGTGTTAAAGAGTCGCACGACGCACTAGAACCACATTACACGGACTGCTTGGTGTGATCTCCCGCCTGGTTCCAGCCCTTAATGGTACGTAGGGTGGAAATTGGGATGTGACATCATGCAGATGTATAGCTTTCCACTGCATTAGCATGTGTTCTAGGCCTAGTTGGGAGGATGTGCCAGAGCCGCTCCAGGACAGGTCAAGGATCCGGTTTTCATGCGGGGCTGAAGTACTTCACTCTCCGTAGACGCCACCAGAGAATTGGTCAAACATCACTACTACATACTACTACCACTACCCCCACCACATCAGTCAGTACGACTTCTCCCAAATCATCCGAGAGCAATGTTTTCGGGCATCCCGGTTGATGGAAGGTTCCCAGAGTCCCCAACTCCTCAGAGGGACGAGATTTTTCCACACGAGCGGCTGCGAGGGATCGGGAGATGTGAGGTGTACCCGGTGAGTCTGGGTGACCTGGGTGCAATAGATTTCATTACTCTACCCTACCGGTCAAAGGCCTTAGATCGCACTGGAGCTGGTCATACAAAACCAGCTCTGTGATAGTGCGATCTGGGTCAGGACCTGTGATAGGTCCAACGAGAATGAGTCTGTGATAGTCTGTGTGACGAGCATGACCCGAATTCTCGTCCGGCACCAAAAGAAATATTACACAAATCAAGCTGATGGCAGGAACAGAGCTGTTTAGAGCAGCAGCAATTCGCACTAAGCTGAATTTTGGTGAGATGGGAGACCAAATCAATATCAATACCTAGGGTCTGTCCTATTACCTGTAACAGTCAGTAAACAATTATCATCACTTTTGAACAAGGCCTTTCCCAACCATCATCATACTGTTACAGGTAAGAACGGATAGACCCAATCGATACGAGCGAAATGGGTTTCAGTCTGCTGAAGTCTGCGGCCCGGCCATCACTTGGGGATTAGGAAGAACATGGAAGAACTGCTTTTGGACACCCGTGGAAACGCAGTCTGGATGTGGACATTCCGGAATGTCGAGTGCGTGGGCCTCTTTGTTTGTTGTCATTTTGCAAAAAGGCTATCATTAATATGTATTCATGAACATTTTTGTACTATGCATCATAGATTTGGGGTTCGTTTCATGGGCACAGCAAGGACTGGCGGAAGCGGTCAGTGGTTCATTGGACGCGTGAAATCGCGGAACCGACCAAACAACCAAAAGAGATCATTGTTTTGGGGGGGTAACAGGTGCGGTGTGGATTGCTTTGCATGGCTGGTGTGAATATTGGATTATTGGATGATATGGGACAACGATCAACTTGACATCATCTAAAATCCAGGATGCAGAATCCGGGATCCGCGGTGATTTCGCAAGCATCAGGACACCAAAGCTTGTCAATGACCAAAATCAAACAGATTGATAACTCATGGCACTTGGGCTGGGACCAGTGGACTCCAATGCCCGCGTGCCGCCTGCCCAATCCTGGCTCCGAGCTGGACATTTAGCGATCACGGAAGCTTGGAGAAAGTCACACTGGAGAAAGTCATCCCCCACAGTATGGATCCAGTTACCAGGTATCTATCACATAAATATAGGTCACCAGTGCTTCGACTTAAGCCCTGGTTTCCGGAACTACCAGGGGGCCTCTAGTTTCCTGAACTATACTGATTCCGAAAACGACGCGTGGCTAGCTGGGATCCACTGGGCTCTAAGCAGGTTCCACCACGGGGCTCAGGGCTGCCTGGCTGAATCGAGGGTTTGGCGTCCGAACATGTGGCGTACGAAGATGCGGTGGTTTGGAATACCAGTGCCCGTTTCAAGTAGACGAATATAGATGAATACTTTTTTGGGGGGGGTGGTCCTATAGTTGGGAGACTTGATTGGAGATATGTTTGCGGTTTAGAGGTTTCCTCAGAATTCAGTTGAACGTCATTGTTTTCAGATATTATCTTACGATCAATCAATTCATCTATGAATTCCATTGACATTACAGTATATTCCCCTTCGTTTTCTCGCATGTTGAAATCTCAAAAACTCCACGAAACTCAAAGACCGAAGCATGAACCACCGCAGACCAGACGCATGATGCATGGCGGCGGTTTTCATGGCGGCGGAGGCAGGCAGCTCCCAGCATCTCCAAAGCATGTTCGGCCCAGGAATTGGCAGGTCTCCCTGAAAGAAGCATGGAAGTGGAATAGCTGGTGTTATACCACACACCAGCTGTGTGGTATTCGGATTTCATCCGAACTCTTCCTTCATGCCATCCACGTTTGTTCGCATGATTGATGTCAGGGAGTGTAGACTCCTTTTCATCTCCCTGGACACCAGCACTAAAATGGTACCCTTTTCTACTTGGAGCCATGGCTGAGCCATATCTCGATGCGACTCATGACCTTTCTGTTACAGCACCCAGTCGTGACCTGAGGACGTGTTTTCATTCCGGACCATGACAGAATAGTGGGTCTACATCAGGACAGCGCCCACAGAAGCGAAGAATCCAATGGGACTGAGATTGGGGCCAATTCAAGTGTTTGTTGGCAGCAACAAATGAAGCATGGTGATGAGAAGGCTGCCGAAGATTGGCCCTGCTCTTGTCATGGTTGTTGCTACTGGTGCTGTGGTTGTTTTTGCCAGTGCTTGCTGGATGTTTCTTGTTCTCGTCATCCACCCTCGCAGACGACAGTCAACATGCATTTTAGATCGTGCCAGTCGTCTTTCAGTCCTTCGCACCGCACCTGGCATATCCTGGCGATACGGTGATGTTGTTTTCACGCCAGGTGTGCACCTTTATACCCTATAGGGATCCACATACCCTCTGGGTGATTGGAGACACTGTTATGTTGGTTTGGAGGGTCCATTCTTCTGAGAAGGTACGATTGGATCCTTAGGGATAACTCCCGATGCGGTTTGAGCCACAGGGAGAGAGACTTGTTTTTTTTTTTTAATGTTTTTGAGTAATGAATGAGACATGAATCCCAAGCCTAAGTTCAGAAATTGTTTCTTTCTAAGTGTGTGTTTCTTTTTTAACTTTGCATCCTCGGGAATATTTAATCTTAGAAATGTGTACATCAAAGTCATCCCCTAGAAGTCCAAAGACTATTTTCGGCATCACCCAAGTGGAAGTTCCTGAACTCGGATCACCAAGTCAGACCGTTAAGAAAGTGGTCTTAGTCTTGGACTCCCAGGGTATCCATACTTGCTTTCTTGCACCTCGGCCCGCAGGGTGCGACCTACGCACCGACCGATGCCGGCGGGGAGGTCTTCATCCCGTGCGCCATGTGGGGCGATGGCGGATGTAGGGGCCCGGGGTTTACAGACGCCCGTACCAGCCTGTAGCTCGTCTTTTGCTTTATATGTGTGTGTTCATTTAAATCATTTAGTCTCACCAGGCACAACGGCCCCTACAACGAGAAAACTCTCATTTGTTGGTGGCGCATGTGATCGGGTGTGGGTCAAAGATGTGCAAAGTCCTGCAAAAGTTCGAAGAGACAGGAATCGGATGCATTGATTGGTTCTGGTACCATCTTTGGCGCGAAGCTCACTGCATGAACACCCAGGCGAACAGGTCTATCATTTCCAAAAACAGCTTTGCTGCGAGGCGAGGGGTTCTCAATTCTTGCATAGAAACGATCCTGGGCCAAGACTATTTGCTGGTGTTTTGTCTCCTTTTCTCTTCCTGTGTCTCCACCTTGCAAGCTTCCCATTCCGGCATCCGGCTATATCATCGCGTAGCTCCTCGCCTGAACGTGGACGATCCGGGTGCGGTTTTCGTCATCAAAGCATGTTGCTCTGAAACCCTAGGGATCCAAGTACCTCCTCAGAAGGTATTTGAACCCTCCAAACCCAGCCCAAACACCTTCTCAGAAGGTACTTGGATCCCTAGGGAAAGCTTTGCAGTGGAAATAGGGGGAATCCTGGAGGGCGTTGGCCCTTGCATGCTGAACAGCGCGTATATTACGCGTATATGTATATATAGCACGAGCTCCTCGTGTTTGGTCGTCCGGGTCAACCGGCTGCCCAGGCTCGACTAGGGTCTAATAGCGGGAGCGGCGTTATGTTGATCTGCAAGGCGAGGGGCCGGGGGCGCGCGGCCCCATCAGAATCTGCTTTTCCATGGCTCTTCCGGATGCTTTGTTTGCTTTGTTTTCCTTTGTCCCCCTTTTCTTTCCATGGGTCTTCTGAATGCTAGGCTGCTTTGTCTCCCTGTGTCTTCATGGCTCTTCCCGGCATTTTGCAGACAAACTTCCAACCTGGAAACCCAACGAGGTATGTGAGGAACACTTTCCTCTCCCTTCCTCCATGTTCTGATGGCCTGCACCCAGGCCCGCGATGGGTTTCGATCGGAGGAAGCATTCCAGGAATGCCGCGTTGATATGGGTCTTGAAAGAGGAACCCTCAGGACCCCCAGGAAAGGACGGCATCTACTAAAATTAATGGTTGCAGGGTCAGGGTCTCAATATTCTGCCAACCTTAGTCGCACCCAGACTCATCAGCTATCAGATTTAGCTTGGGTGATTTTCTATGTTCCTGTTGTTTTGGCAATGCAAAGGTCAAGCTCACTCCATGTCCATGGGGATTAGTTGTTTCCTCACTAGGAGTTTCAGTATGGGAGCTACATGAAGTTTGTTTGTGCTTTTGTCGCGTTTCCATTTTTGGGGGGCTTGCTGGTGGTACAGGATGTTGTCAATATGGGTTGAAGCCCATGCCTAGGTTGTAGAGGAAACCAATTCCCACCGGGTTTGCTGGAGGATTCATGACAAAATGGTGGGACAACGCATTGTTTGTTTGGCAGCTGGTGAATGAAACAGTGGATAACTGGATAACCTTTAGAAAGAGCGCGAGACAGGAGGCCAGCTCCGAATTGCCTGAAGCATTCCCCAACCAACGGAAGATGTTGCTCTCGCCAAGCCAAGCACTCCATCAACGATTGAAAACAGGATTCCACCGAGTTGAAACCCAATGGGTCTGTGGGCCGTGATATCTCAATGTACACTCCCTGCAATCATCATAAAAGTGGATGGCATAGCCCTTGGAAGGCATTGAAGACCATGAAATCCTCTACAAACAGGTGGTGAACTCCACTGCCATGATGATTCCAGGGAGTCTATCAAGTTGCTTGTTTAGCACACAAAGAGGATTCGATCCGGAACCATGGAACAACCCCATTTGTCTATTCCAATCCCTATGGATCCACATATATACCTTCTGAGAAGGTGATTGGAGACACAATTATGTAGGTTTGGAGGGTCCAAGTACCTTCTGAGAAGTTACTTGGATCCCTACAGAATGGATATTCACAATATATAACAATGTGTTTTTTGTATGTTATATATATATATTATTTAAAGTTATTTTACATTTCCTTTAGCAATGCGGTTTTTGTGTATGTGATTGATATACTGCACATATATATACACATGAATACGCATGCATACATATACACATGTCAGTATATGTTTATTATATGTATGTGATCTGATCACATGGTCAATTTAGGCACGATGACATGTGTGGGTGCGTATCCCCAAACGACCGCAGGATGAGCCTCCAGATCGTCGTCGAGACTTTAATAGAAGATCGCCTCAGATCATTTGAAGACACAGCCCTAGCCTCGAAAGACCACTCAAGCAAAGGTCAACCTCGTGTTGCAGACTAAAACCCAGTGGGTTCTGTTAGACATCCTTACCCTCCCTCAAACAATCATGGAAGCTGCACAGGCCTCACTTGTAGAGGAAAATCTTCCGCCGAGGTGCTCGCAGGTGTTGGTCCTTGGAGGATCTTGAGGGTCCTCAGAAGCGCTATGCCCGGCAGGCGCCCGCGCGCCGCGCGCCAAAGCAGCTGCGCTTCGTTGGGAAGGTGACAGGAAGGTGGCTCCGCAGAGATCCCTTGCAAGGTGTGAGTGACGCCAAGGCCTGAATGCACAGGTGACTGTGGGAGCAGCGCAAATTCCTGGCCGGACCAGTGGTATACAGATGCAGCCACGTGGTGAACGCTGCCGTTCGCAGCCGTAAAGGATCGACCATGCCACAGTCGGGTGACCAAAGCCCGCATGGGGCAAGCTCACCTGGGAAACCGAAAGGCTTGCTTGGTGTATCCAATGTTTATCCTGTTTAATTTTATGATTTTGAACCTGAATAAGAATGTGCAACAATTCATCAATTGTCCATGATGCGATGATCTTGGACCTTTTTCAGGGCTCTTGGGAAGCACTGTATCGGGACTTCTATCAAAGTGATTTGGCCCCCCAATCAAAGAGACTGTCCCTTATCGAGGTTCTGCTGGTTCGGCCACGGACAGCAGGTGCATTCCCTGATGTTCAAAGTGCAGCCTTTGCCCAAGACCCCTACGACGGACATTTCAGGCACGGAGGGGATCAGAGGTGCCAGGAGCAGGTGGGACTGGGCAACATGAATCAAGCAGGAACTTCGGGTAAAAGGTATGAGCCACGGCTGATTGATTGAACTTCATGTATATGAGTCAAGATCAATTTCTTAGAGGACTATTTCCGCTTTCCAGATAGCTATCGGCTGGTCTAGCGGGATTTGAAGCTTCAAATGGGGCCAGCTCAGTTCGTTGATCCAAGGCGTCCTTGCCATTTGTTCGATCCCTTTGGGCTACCTCTGGGAGGATCCAAAAGCCCATAAACCAGCCTATGCGAAACCCGCGAAGTTATGAACTCAACATCAAATGGATGACTCATATCAAGGCAGATGATCGGCAGATGTAGATGTTGATCATCGATCACAAGTCCATATACGTCCTATATCCTCCAAACAAATACGCCTCGGTTTGGCGCCTGCCACCACCAGGTGCCCCTCCCGGCACCGTCTTCAGCTCCGCCTCGGAGCCGGGCTCCGTGACGGGCTCTGAGTCGGTGATGGAGTCGGTGGCAGAAGAGGAGAAGATGAAGGGATACATGAAAATAACTAGGGCAGATCTATTCTCCATGAAGGGAGAGGAGAGCAATATAGAGCAATATGAAGTTGTTTTTCCCCACCTGCCAGGTGAGGGTCTCTAGATTTTATGAAAGGTACAACTCCTCTCCTCTCCTAGGTCTGCGCACACGACCCGAACACACCATTCCAGATAGAATTTCAAGATACATTCCAGAAAGAATGTCAGATACAATGTCAGAGTAGATTCCAAGTAGAGTAAATTTTGGTTTGAAGGGATGTATGCTGAACACATCTTAAAAGTAAATGGTGACGACCAAGGACCCTAGTAATCGTCTCCAAGTTTCTTCAGTCTTCTCCGAATGCTGTTCACGAGGCATTCGGCCGAGCTGCTGCATCGTAAACACCAGTTGGACCGCATGAACTTATAAGATCCTGTAAGCCAAGCGCTGCTTTTGGATGGTTTGGTTCCTGCATTCAGTTTACCAAGTCACAGCGGTGCTGGGGTCATGTGGATTGAGGAAGGCTGACTGCTTAGTGTGGACAGTTGATGATATCAAATCCCCCGGTTCCACAATGGGTGTCCATCTCCATGTGGAGAATTTTTCATCAAGTCAACGGTCATGTTTAAAGACGTCACACGGTCACACGTCCACTGCATTGCCCGCAGTGCGGCTCGGCCCTGGCCACCGCGCGTGCCTAACGTGTTTCGTTTAGGGGAACTGGTCTTCGATGACGGCGTTTTCAATTCTACGTTGGGTCAGGTGCTCCTGCATAGTCATAGCCTTTCATCAACAACCGGCAAGTAAACCGAGAGAGGCTAAGATAAGAACGTTGAAACTCAGAAGGCGATAGAAAGCGGACACCTACCATGTGGAAGTAGAACAGGACATGGATATAGTCACCATCACAATGACCATTTCACTCCCACCACTATTTCTAAATTGAGCAACTTGAACCCATTTGACCCTTATTTTAGGTGGTTGCTCCTCCAAAACATTGGGTCGCTCAGGTTAAGGTGGACTCAATCATAGTACAATCTCAAAACAGAAAAGGAACTTAACCTGATCAAAGGTACTTTATTGTTTTGAGATTGTACTATGATTACCATCTTTACTGTTTATTGTTTTGAGATCATAGACCAGTACAATCATAGTACAATCTCAATTATAGTTTTTAAGGAACTGTTCAGCTTGTTTCTCGCGCCAACTTGTTTTGTGTTGCAGGAACCCATCGAGTTGGAGGCCACTTTTTTGCGGGTTTCTGTCGCAAAGCCGCGGGAACCGATGGCCCAAATGGCAAACGGCAAATGCTTATATCACAGTTCCCGTTCCGACCTAGTCTTATACTGTAGTTTATTCAGTTTGTGGGGAACATTTTCGTGTGCATGCAAGATGTCCGAAGGCCTGGCGGTTCCAATGTGTATGTCCAACTACGCCTACGCCAAAAAAAGAAGCATCACCCAAATGTGTACACTGTATGCATGCTGGTGAAAACTTAAGCTACAGATGCTACAGTAAATGTGATGATTCGATCTTGATGATTGCGATCAAAGAATGAGAGCCTTGACAAGAATCCCGGACAATTTCGTCCAACAATTTGTGGGCGTGGGTTCCATTGGGTTCAGACAAGGCTTCATGTTGCAGGGTGTATATGTATATACACATACAGCACGTATGTATATATATATAGATGTATTTATGTGTTGTTGGTGTAGTAGCGAAGAAGTACTCAAATAGGTATGTGCTGAAAAGTTAAAGTTCCCCCCAAGTAGACCATTTTGTTTTTTTGTGGATGTGGGGCATGCTCTGATTGGAGAACACATCGCCCCTTTGCCATGAACCAATTTTAACATAACAACATGTTGAACACACTGAATTTCCTGTCAGGTTGAGCTGGCAGGGTGGGATGAAACTCCTTGTTCGCCTGGAGGCAGAGGAGCTGGCGCAAGTACCCCTGGATGAGGTGGGCGTGTTGGGGACACTGAGATGGTGGTGCCAATTTTTGTTAGTTTGTTTTTGTGTGTGTGTTGTTATTGGAGACACGTTTGGGGGCGGAGGAGCAAGGTGGTTCCATGTGATTGTGATTCCTCAAGAAGTGCTCCTTGATTTGGTTCATGCAGATTTCCGCAAGAAGGAGAGGCATTTTCAGGGGCATTTGGTGGCCAAGGGATCATCAAGGAGCGGCTCAGCGTATGGTCAGTTTTCATTCCTTGTTTTATGACCCAATGGGTCAACGAAGGACTGACGCTCTGGCTGCGCGCCGCCGAAACCCACCGGCTGGTCCGAACCGGCTCGCTGGCCCTGAGACCCAAAGATCTTTGCACTTGCCAGGGCAACAACCAAGAGATCCCATGTATACTACTCCAGCGTCCTACAAGGTCTCAATCTCTGAATGAATGCCCAGCCTATACTCCAAAGAGGATCCAACATATATATAATTATATAGATAGATTACAACGAATCGTTTTGTGTCCGGTTGATTGGCAATCGGAAAGGTCCCTGAAGCTTACCCGGAAAACCTCAAGACTCAAACACCTGTAAAAATAAAAAGTGGCGTCAACGTCTCCAACTACCGCTGGGCCGAAAGTGGTGTCAACGTCTTTAGAATGACCCTGATGTTTATTTCCAGGTTGAGCATTCTGAATGTTGTATTTTGCACACTCGTAAACCGGCATTGCTCCCAAGCGATCCAGTGCCAGGACAGCGTCCATCAAGTATTTGGTGTGTTAAGATCGACCCACTGGTGTTGATGTGGGTTGATTGGTCGGTCCTTGGCGCGGCCTCGTTCCTTCATCAACACTTCAGACATGTTAGACCCAGAACCCTGCAGGTTGTAGTCCTGGAATGTCGATGTTCACCTGGCCACGCCCATATAAGCTTAGCCGTAGCCTCTTATCAGCTAGCTGATGCGAGCTTATGTGACAGAGGTTTCGTTTATCGAGTTTGCCGGAGAGGCCCTTCTAGAGCTGATATGGATTGAAATGGGTTTGTTGACAGAACCAATCATGTAGACTGTTTATTATATTTGAGCACCCCAAAAAAACAAATGTGTTTTTTGTTGCCCATCCATGTCTGGGCGGGGTTTGAAACATAATGTTAACAATACACTGAAGAAATGGGTGGGTTGAAATATGTTTAATGCAATCAAGATTCTACACTAACGCTCGATCCAACCCTGAAAACGTGACCCAGGCAGGCGAGCTGACCTCGATCGGCTCCATTTTGCTCCTCGTTCGGACAAAGCACGCGGGGTGGGTCAGGGCGGAGTGAGCCACCGATGCGCTGCAGCCGCCGTGGCTGTCCAGCAAGGAGGATGCACCCATGCTGAGGAACAAGAACTGTGAATCTCTTGTGGATGTTGGATGTTTTTTCTGTTTTCTCACGCGGGAGACATAGAACAAAATCCCACGACCAGACACAAAAGAGCCAAACTCCCAACACTCACGAACCCACGAGAGCATGCTGGCACCATTTGGCACCGCTGGTGGGCATCCAGTAGGTTCTCCAGAAGATTCCAAAGTAAAGAAATCATCAGAAATCAACGTCTACTGCGCATGCTAACTAGCTGAGTAGATCGAGCGCCCTGTTCCCCGTACGATTCGGACGGACCCCCCAGGCTTTCACGTCGCTCTGAACATGGCTGCCACCGGTCTTTCAGTCGGGATCGTTGTCGGCCTTCGGCTGATAGGCATAGATCGCCCAAGATCCACCCTGGTCACCCTGGTCGACCTTCGGCTTAACGTCCAAGGCACGGATCTGGCGAGTGCCGCCCCTGCGCCTTCCTAGGCGATGCGGAGGGACACGCATCGTATGGTCCAAGGGTGGGAGAAGTGTGTGAGACTGGGCCACAGACCTTTTATAGACCATAGGTTTGGGACTGAGTTTCATCGATCGTGTGACATAGTTTTGGAATGTTTTGGAGGGGACCATTCTCATCCATTTTCCACTTCCTGTATTGTTGGGGAAGTTGGTGGGATTTCAACCCACCACAGCCACTTGCGATCATCCACGACTGGGGGACTCATGGGGGCACAGAATAGACTCCGCACAATTTTTGCAGAATTGGTTTACAGGAACATCTAGCGGAATGCCACCGTTTTGCAGGGTGAACACGTATGAAAACCACGGTTTCCGGTAGATGTTGCTTCAAACCAATCCATTGAAGTTGCCAATGGTTTTCACGTGGCTAAGAGGAAGCACCGGAAGCACACTAAATCTCCCATTCTAGGATCTCTGAAAGTGACCTGTGATAGCATGTGCTCTGGGGAGCTTACAAAAGTGTCATTCCAGGAGAGGATTTTCGGATTTTCCAGGGCCTTCAAAGTGACCTCTTTGGAACGTCTAAGTGACCTTTCACAGGCCTTTCCAGTGACCATCCTTGGATCTCACAAGGTCACCTTGAACGTATATAAGTCGGCACCCTCATTTTTTCGGTTCGGCAGTCTCCAGCTCCCATCTCGGACATTGGATGTTTTTGAAGCATTCATCCGGATCTTGTTCAAGAACCGTTCCCCGTGTTTCATGATAGACCCCCCCATGCTGCACCGAAATCACTCATCCCCGCGACTCCCAGGCAGCGAACGGCGGCCGTGTACCAAGGGCGTGGCCTGTGTGCCGCTCGGCCGATTCCGAGAGGGCTGAGACAGGTGCTGAATCCGTTTGGACTGATGTCGGCGATTCTTCAGTGTCCGTTTGGTCATGTCGACTGTTGAAGAAAATCCCCCAGATGTTGAAGATAATTATATGATTTTATATACCTAAAATTATGATTCAAAGGACGGTGTTTTACCTAAGCAAGAGTCTACATGACAATTCAAAAGCTTTTGGATGAGTGGACATGAGCCCTCTCTGTCCACTCGTGTCACTGCGCTTTGAAGCGACGTTTCGCCTCAGGGGCTGAGACACGACAACGGTTCCCTTACAACGGTTTTCTGGACCGGTTGCGGTTTCAGAGGAGGTACATCAACATGGGGAAAGCATTGAAATCACATTGGCCAAGGGTTAAGTGTTTTTCTTCACTGCGGCGAAACAACAACCATTTTAACTCAATGCTCGAGTTCGGCCGAGTTCACCATTGAGTGAGAAGACCCGGACTGTGATGAGGATACCCGCCAGATCAAGCAGGGTTGATGTTCATATGGCTGGAACATCGAGCATCAGAGGAGTTTGGTCAAAACAGATATGGGCTATAGTGGTGAGGATAACATGAAAAATACAACTCCAACTAGCCATGGTTAAAGGATTATGTTACTTCTTCATGTATACTAACTATAGTGCTAAATATACATGTGACTTTTGTTCATCCTTTCCTGGACATCCTGCTGTTTCATCGGACGTTCATCGTCCAGGTTCTGCCACTTCCCGCACGACGCGCGCCGCAAAGTCCGGCTCGGCCGTCGGAAGAGGCGTGGCGAGGATCTCCCGATACGGATCGTGGCGTAGCGTGCGATTCGAAAAGAAACAAAAACAGATCAAGAAGGACCGTTTTTGTGTTTCTTAGAAGATTCTGATAAATCTAATCTGATTCTGTTTATGGAACATTTATTGTTGGCCTTCTTCTAGGATTTTTCTCCTCCAAGTTTGATACAGGCATCTTTCATATTAAGTATTATCTTAGATCTCCCCTGAGTGTGTAACATGAGGAGACTAGCACCACGAGTCCCAGGGGAGTATACTCTGATATACTATACATTGCCATACATACCCTAAGCATGGTGCGCTTGAACACGATGTAACCTTTAATTTGCAGTTTCAATCCTTTTGGCCAAAAGGGCATTGGATTTGCATGATGCAGTCATGACTGCATCCCAAAAAAGAGAAGCTACCATCACTTAGCAGAGCACAAGTGACAAAAGCCGGCGATGACGATCATACCTCCAAGCTCCGAACCCGCACCAGGCGCGAGATGCGCATCAGCGCGCGGGCGGCGGTGCGCGCCGCGGGTGCGGAGGGGATCTCCGCTGCGCCGAGGCGGGGGGGGTGGCCAAGGCACAGGAAGGTGGATGCCTCTCTGAAAGAGATATACAGAATACATGTATATCAGCATGATTCAGCATGTATACAAAAGGTGTATGTCAGACATGCGTTTCGTAATTCATTCTGACCCCCCTACTAGCTCCATCCATCCCCTCCCTATCAGTGGCTCCCATGATGGACATTAAGCCAGCCAAGCTTACGGGAGCTGCTGGCGCTTGGCGGCCAGTTCCGGTCGTGACAAAGACCATCAGAAAGATTCGTGTGACATGGATGGATGAAAATGAAGGTGTGGAATTGAAGAGAATGGTATAGTTATGCCACCCACCCTTCAAAACCCACCCACCCTTGGAAACGCACACATTTTTAACTACGTACTGGCTTTTGACGATCTTTATTTATCTTTATGTAGTTAATTAATTATCTAAAGATCACAACTGTTCACCCTGCTTGGTTTTCCAGCTCAATGAACGCCTTCACTGTGACCTTCTTGTACATTGTTTGAGACCCACTTTGCAGCAAAGAACCTGCGCCCTTTGGGATCTGCCTGGATGGTGGGAGCGGCAACGGCCACTGCTTCCCCGCTACACTTCTGGGGCTGAGCAGGAATAAGGAGTGGGCGACCCAGCGACATCCTGCAGGAACTTTGGAACTATCTTAAATGCACAAACGGGTATATTTGTATATTTGTATATATATATATACATATTATACAGTACTGTATATATATATATATCATATAAGTACAGTTTTCTTCTTGTTGAATTAGGATTACGTGGAGAGATGTTTTCTTCAACGAATCATTTGGGACTGTTTGGGGGGGCTTTTGGGACATGTCAGTGTCGAACATTTTGGTAAGGGACCTTCCTTCCAATATATATATATAGACTCCCAATCGTCCAGGAGCTGTTTGTCCAACTTGTCATTTCTAACATGGCTGTGTCATTTAATAAGGAGACCTCACACCAATGGGTCTTGGTCTACTTCCCTTCTTCCAGAAGTCGATGGTGGGAGGACACCAACATGTGGACCCTGAATGCGTGGTGCATGGTGCGAGTCGCCACGGGCCCACCTGCGATGACTCACAGGGGGCTATAGTGGGATGCACCTCACCTAGAGGGTACCGATAGGCATTGAAGAAGAGACATGAGCACAGTGCCATTGGACATCAACGATTTGTCACGAGTTGGATCCACATCGCCGCTGCTTACGCATGATTTTGTGGCCATCCTAGAAACCTAGTCGACCTCCAAGATGTGCTTTTTTTCCAGGTAAAATCAAGCCATGAATATCAGCCAGCACCGACTTCACAGGTCACCAATTGAAACTCGGTTAGGGCCTAACAACCCTCCATTTCGGAGACCTGTTGGAAGGTGCTGGAGGAGATTCCTCTTATAGCACACCCCTTCAGACCAAAGAGTTCGAGATCCATCGCAAGATCCACGGAGAAATCGAAGGAAGGCAGCCATCGGTTTGCGCCCTCCGGTCGCAGCGTCGGCAGATACATTCCAATCTCTTGGCCGGTGGGGCCTTCAGTGGGGTCGGGTGCCCCAAGGGCGCCCCAAGCGCTCCTGACCTTCCTCCAGTTCCAAGGTGTTGGAAGTCGGAAGAGGGTGAAACGACCTGAGGAAACACCACTAAAACTTTAAGGTTTGGAAAGACCAAATGTAAGAACCGTGGGACCAGTTGTGGAATACATTCAAGCTTCCCAGATGGTTTTGGACCGCAGATTCCAAGTCTGAAAAGGCAACTGATGGAATTCTGCAGATTCCCAACCGCGCTCAGTTGGATGCCCAGCCCATGGATTGCCTTTGACTATTGGTCGATGAATAAAGGGGATACGATTTAGTGAACAACCGACATAGGACATAGGTGTCTGGTATGCCTGGCATCAAACCCCCTACAGACAGTGCCTCATTGGTCCAGCTTCCTGGCTTGGTTCCAAGTGTCATTAGAATGCCAGCAGGCAGGCTAAGATGATGTGTTTTATCTAGGTTCTATATATACTAATCAGCAACTTGATTGGATTCTACAGTTAGCTGAGATTCAGTTTCGGTCCTGGAGCCGTCTGCCGCTAATCTGCCCATTTGCTTGAGGGAACGAACCCGACTTCACTTGGCTCATCTCCTTGAAGTGAATTTGTAAGGGCTGAAAAGGGGGTTAGTTCTGGGGCAGCTCCTCTCCCACCCTCCCCCTCCACTTAGGATCCAACACGAGCCTCGTGAACCTGCAGCCGAACGCATGTGTGGCTGAGAAATGAGTCCCCCGCTGCGACTGTATGGCGCCGGGTGGCACTTCCAGGCTTTTGAGAACTTGTTTGTCAACAGCTGGCAAAGGACCAGTGGGACGTGACATGGAGATGTCCTTAGTAGACTGGCAGCCAGAAGGACCCACTTGGCCTAAGTAGAGAATCTAAGGATACCAACTTTATCCCACTTTATCCAGCCACAATCTCAACAGCAGTTGTTCATCACCCACAGGCTTGGTCAATGAAGTCATGGCTTTTAGAATGTTTCCGCTGTATACAGATGACTCAAACGGTGCCTTTGCCCGTCAAGTTGCTGGTTGAGTGTTGGAGTTCCTAGTTGTGAACATCTATGTACTATGTAAAGAGATGCGTAAAATGCGGCGTCAGCATCTCCCTTGGACACGGCCATGCCTTCAAAGTCGCAGGAACTGTGCCACCGCTTCTGTAGTCCTCGAAATCGCCGGCATCGCTATAGACACCCAGACTTAGACGCGGTGGAGTCTATTTGGGCGTTGGTGGGAACCACTTTTCTTCAGCTTATCGAACGTTTGCTATGAACTTTGTGTGCCCGAATTCAGAGCAGCTTGGGGCATGGTCAAACCACAGCACCGAGAAGGTAGGCAAGGACTTGCCATCCAACCCACATCCCCAGTCGCCGCCAGTCACAAGTCGATGCACTTTGATCAAGTCGCAACATGCTTCAGCTCCGCTTTTCGAAGCGCTTCTCAAGTGACCGCAGAGACAGCAACGCATTGCCAAAAGCTTAGAGCAAGTTCAGAGTAGATCGAACACATCACATTGACATTGACTTTTTAGATAGAGATTGGCTGAGAGAGGTGATATTGGCTGAGAGAGGTGATATTGGCTGAGATAGGTGATTGGCTGAGAGAGGTGATAGGAATGTCATTGTCTCTTGGCTCACCTCAGAGGGGCGTGTGCCATGTACTTGTACTCTGAAATCACTCCATGACAAGCTTTTGGAGAAAAAAACACAGAACCTCTCTTTGTACCAAACGACCACTGCAGTCGCTCACCACCTCCCCGCCTGACTCACACGACCCATTGGATGTAGGGGATGACATAGATGAACCCCAAAACCACTGGGTTGTAGAGGAAAATGGTCTTCCACCGGTCCATTCTCAGCTTCCATGTTAGTTTGCGGGAGGGTACATGACCTGATGAATCTGACCCAGTCATAGGTCCAGCCGAGCTGCTGTTAGCAGGGGGCCATCTCTTGCCGTTCTGCGGCTTTGTCAACGGAAAAGAGACTGGGTGATGATCAATTCCAGCTTTGGCGGGGGCTCCGGAGCCCGAACCATCCGTGTTTTGTTGATCAAAATCACACCCCATCCACGATCCAGCGGTCCGGAAGCCCGGACACATCTCACCTGTTGGTGTTCTTTCCACAAGGGAACACCTGTTGGTGTCTGTTGGTCGCATCTCCCCCGCAGATCGAATGTTCTGTTCCTCCCCGAGCCGTCCCTCACATCGCCGCGATGCGGGGGCCTGGACTGGTGGTGGAAGGCAATAGTGCTGCTTGGAGCGAAGGCACAGAAGGGTGCGGACGGGCGCAGGCACCCGGGTTCGGTGTGCAAGCACCCGGGCCGCAGTGAAGGAATGGTGTGAAATTGCTGGATTCCGCACCATTCTTTGAGCTGAAGGATTGTTCCATGACGCTGGTCATCTTCATTCCATAGAATCAGTCAGTGCTTTTGACCTTCAGATGTTTTGAGTGGACCCTGTATTGAGTATAGGACTGAGGGGGAGACAATTCTTCCAGGGGCTTCCAAGGGTTCATGTTGACCGATGCCTGAATGTTTCAAGAGGGTATCAATCAAGTGGGTCTTTGACTCCAAAACTGTTTGGGATGTTGCCACTCCCACTGTTTGGGTACTCTGTTTGATGTGTTTCAAGGTAACAACAGCTAGGATCCTTTGCCTTCTTGTTGCATTTGATTCGGTTTTCTCAGGTAACGAGCTGGAATCCACATACCCCATCGGATCGAGAGCATCGTTGACATCGGTGTTTGTCCAAGCTCCTATAGCTTGTACAGTAGGCTCTGGTCGATTGAATTTCATTCATCCAAACAGCTGGCGTAGTCTGGGAAGCTACCGGGAACTTCAGTGGCAATTGCACCCTGCTTTGAATCGACATGCAAAAGTCATTTGCCCTAGGCCCTAGCTCTGTTGGATGTGCTGGATAGAGGTATGGGTGTGGCTCAAAGATCCAGAACCCCAGGTATTACCCCCTTTCCAAGAAACAAGCGTAGTCTGGGTATGGAAAAGAACTTAAGCGTTCTTCGTCACATCATCCGCTGGAGTCGATCGAAGGGCTGGAGTAGATCGAAGGATGATCTTGAAATCTGATGAACATACAAACCAAGAGAGGTTTTTTGTTACAAATCCGTAATGGTCCTAGTCGCAGTTCGTGGTCCAACAATGACTATAGGACCATCCAAGAGGTTACCGGTAGACCACATACCCGAATTACACGAAGGCGACACCATGGGACACACCGGGATGCTCCAGGTTGGCACACCTCTTCCGGCAAAACAAAACCAGTTTTCAATAGTTTTCACATACGTGTCACACAAACCATCAGAAACTCGTTCTTTTGCTCAAACAAATATGCCTTTCCCAGACACTCCATGGGACTGCCATATATATGCCTACATTGACCCCTAAAACCACCCCAATGTAAGTAAATATGCCAGTCCCATGGAGTGTTTGGGTTTGAATGCCTTTGAGGGGTCCCCTGGTACCTTGATGCATCTTCATCCTCCACAATCGCCCAACTACGACTTCGATACGTTCCTTCTAAGGCGGAGGAGTCGGAGGCACTCCGAGAGGAGACCCGGGTCTCTCCGGGGCCGAAAGCTAACATCAATGTGGATGTAGCGTAGCCTGACTTGTCCAATAGAACCATCAATATAACTTTATGTAATTAAGATGTTTTTTTACTACGAAACACAGCTCAACCTGTTTTGACATAGGCTGAAGTCGACCCACATATGACGTGGTTGTTCAATCGGGGGTCGTCTAGGGTTTTTCTCGGCTTCCAGACGTTGAAACGGGTGAAGGTCACGGCCATGGCGCAGCTTGGAGATGGGTGATGGTGACGTGACTATAAGGGGCCCATCCTGTGATTTCCGCATCGGTGACGTTTCGTGAGGTGTTTGCGAATTTGATTCTTTTCTGGTGAATTGGGTTTTGGGCAGAAGGGTGCGAACGGATGGACTGCACTGGCCAGGAGATTTTACAGAAGGCCCAACTCCTGCAGAAGTTTCAGCTTGCTGAAGAGGCGGACTAGACATATGTGAGGTTTCAAAAGATACGCAGGTTTTTTCAGTGTGTGGTATTGTGTGGTGCCCCACCCAAAGAGCGGCTACATGCAGGTCTATTTGATTTCTAGAGGTACAGTAGTGCGTCATGTTTGACGAAAAGTGAGCCCAGTCTGAACATTCGTGGCCATGTTTTGGGGAAATGTTCATATTTATTGACCTCAACATCATGGATCGACATCACCTGCCACTTCTCTATCCATGCTGAAGCATGTCTATCCCCATGCTTGAACTGCTTCTCCACTGGTGTCCTGGACAGTCACGTGTCTTCACCGTCCGATCCGCGGCGCGATGCGCTTTGTGGTGTCGGACACGGGTACCGATCTCTAGTCACTAGCTTCAGCATCTCTCAGAGTGGGTTTGTATTTTGAATAGGGGAACCTCCCAACTTGCAGGGGCTCCTGGCATCGCTAATAAGCAACAAGAAACTACTAGGGGCTCCTGGCTCCTGGCATTACTAGAAGCTACGAACGGGGCTCCTGGCATTAGTAACAAGAAGCTACCAATATATTTTGTTTGTATTGGATTTTCCCAGTCGAACTGAAGGGGGTGGCTAATCGAAAAGCACACTCAAGTCGTCACAAGTGACGGGTCGTCCAACGCGGTCGTCAGCTCCCGGCCGTCGGTCGTGGTGCACACATGCACGAGCTGCACTCAGGGCCTATCAAAAAAGCTCCAGCACCGGCAAAATTCAGAACAGTTGGTGATGGGCTCAGGTGAGTTTGTACAGGCACGTTTGGGGTGTGAAGTTTGAAGATTGTCTTGCCATTCCCGTGGCTGGGCGTGGAGCGAAGGCAAGGTGCAAGCAAAGCTTTTGACAGCAGATGCAGAACGATGCAAGGCTCTTGGAGAAGTCTTCCAGGGGCAACGACTTTGATGAACCAGGGCTCATAGATGAGTGCAGATGTGATCCATGTCCACCCCTACGGTATGGCCTCCCACGCTTTGGAGACGGCACCCGGCATGCGTTTCCTTTGGCCGAGCGGAACGCTCCAATGCTCGTCTGGGCCGTCCGGCCGGCATCGCTCCACTGGGCTATGCGATGTGAAGTGCTGAGTGATTTGGGGATTCATCCTTTGGAGTCCCAAGACTCCCTAAGTGGGTCCCACTCTGTTTGAGAGTGACTGACCAAGACTCAAGACTCCCGTTCGGACCCCGGAACGTCTTCAAATGGTTCGGGTTATGGTTCGGACTCGTTCGGACCGCGTTTCGGTGGAGAAGCCCTTGTGATGGGTTCAAGGATTCTTCGGGTGAGCCCCAAGAAAACACATCCACATTCGACTGAACCTTGGAATATCTTGGAATACTAGTACATTGGAATACAATGTTCTTTCTTTGCAAGCTTTCAAAGGTCTAAGACTGCAAGTGTGAATGGAATGCACTCATCTTTTGGAAGAGGCCCCTGACAAAGCATCTTAAATAAGAAAAGCCATAGAAACAAATCCACTAGAACCATGGTTCACCTGGTTCACCATTTTTTCGGCAAAGATCTTCGGTGAACGTGTCACTCCAAACGCTGAGAACCAGGCCCCTCCCGCAGCTCTTGCGAGTGAGACGGGGGTCGACGCAGAAGAAGGCGCAGATGTCCAAGCGAGTTGCGTTGCAGGACCTTCCCACCAAGTAGATGATTCGGTCGATGGGGGTGTTGATTTGCTGGGAATGATATTATATCTAGGCATGATTCGGTCGCAGACCTTTGAAAGCTTGAAAAAGCTAAAGCAAGAAACAACTGGTGCTCATCCATGAATGTCCCTGCTAGGGTCCAGGGATGAAAACCAAATCTTCAAATCTCATGTCCGGCGGGGTACCTACCAATTGGAGGAAGTCAGGGTGCCCGAATAATATGTGCCCATCCACTCACTTATTCCCGTATGGGGCTCAAAACCACCCAACTCCATGCAACTGCTGATCCACTCCGCGCCCACTCCGCGCCAGGCGACAACGCTTGGTTTATCGTCGCCTGGGCACCTATTGGTGGACTCCCGCCGTCCCAAAGCACTGGGCTGGGACGACTGAGCTGAGACTGGTCCCTAAAGCACTTCCCAAGTGTCTCCTGAGAGAAGGTATTTGGGCCCTCCAAACCCTTCCCAAACACCTTCTAAGAAGGTACTTGAATCTTGAAGTGTTGGGGCTTGGAGATGTTTAGCACTTCTTCAGCTTAGCCATGGTCTAGCCATGTCTAGCCAGGATCATCCACTGGACTCGCAATTTAACTTCAACGAATCCACGGGTGTGACGGTGCACAGCTGTGACCGATGAGGCAACGACCTGAAAGGTCGGCTCCTCCGGTTACGAATCAGCTGGCGATGGGGACCATGAGCAACAGTCGGAAAAGGAGGATGACTATGTTGAAATACAATTACTCACCATCATCTACAGCTGGTAATAGAAACATCGCCAACATGATCCAACATGTTACTGTAGTTTCTGGATGTTTCTGGTCGTGTCCTTTTCTGAGGGGCTACGGAAGACAAACCACCTGCTGAACACCAAAAAAGACGCCCACACGGTGAGTTTTGCTGTGTGGTTCGGCTCACGTCCACCGGAGCCGTGGATGGGGGGGGGGGCCCAACTTCGGAATTCGGCCCCCCCGGAAGGCTCAAAAGGAGAATGACGCCTTCTTCGGCCCTCCCACACACGCCTTCTTCGATCCTCCCAGCGCGGAACCTGATGTTCTCGGACTATGTGTTTGACTCATGCCAATCCCATCTGACCAGACCCAAGTATCCGAAAAGAGGCTACCCGGGCCCCCGTGGGTGAGACAAATTGTTCCATGATCCTGGCACTCCTAGAACCCACATGAGGGAAGATCCGTTTTCACTGGACAAAGACTCCCAAGCACCACAGTTTTTTGGGGGGGCAAACCAGGTTTGGTTCGATCCGTTTGGATGCCGCGTTTGGGTCTTAAACTCCCTTCTTCGTGAGGTGAAAGAAGAGCTCCAGAAGCTGGTCGGGGGCCTTGGACATGACCAAACGTGTGGAAATGGAGTTCTACCCTCAACGGAGATGGGGTGGATGGATGGAAAACGTAAACGGAACAGGTTTCTTTCAACTAGCAGACAGGAACGGCAAGAAAAAGCAAGCAGCCTGGACCAACAATTGGTACACAAAGATGCTCAATTGTGCTTTTGATACACTTTCTTGGCCGCGCGAGTGTTTTACATTAAGAAGAGGGTCTCGAGCACTTTTCTTAGTTTCTGGATGGTTTTGCAGAAAACCCTCGACAAGAGTCAGGACTTCAACCCCGGATAGATTCCTTGGATTGCAATGTTTGGGTTCTGGGGTCGAGATATCCTGAACTCACGCATCTTTGCCATAGCCCATTGCCAGATGAGTCAACACAACATTTGACTGGATGTGCAAGAGTAAATTTGGGATGATATAGTGGTATGAAGTCTATGAAGGTGTGCAGGTTGGTGTTTGCAGCTTGGTGTTTGCAGGTGTCATCACTGCTGTAAACATAATCATTCTATGAGTTTTGTGTATAACATACATATATAATCAATTATAATCGTATATGTCTATAGTTTGTTTGTGTCTATATATATATACACATGCAATTAAATGCATATGTTATTATTTCATGTTATTATTGCCACAGTGCTCCACAGTGGTGTGCCAAGGATGGATCAAGTGCACGAGATGAACAATTGAAACATGCGCAGACTTCACTTGTGCAGGAAGCGATGCTTGGGTGGATTCCTGGATGTGATATCACACACGTGTGCATGGACATGAATGGAATGGGTTTTCAGGGACACGCGCGGCACATTTTTCAGTGCAGAAACCAAAGGAGCAAACAGAACTAAGAGGACACAAATACGACCGCACAAAGACTCGAGCACACTTTTGGCAGTTTTGGAGCTACAGGAGGAATGGACAACTTGAGTTGTTCTAGAGACAAGTTCGTAAATTGCACCAAAACAGATGGAAGGGCGAGCGCTCGCTTGCGCGCTTGAAAAACATTATCCCGGTAAGAGACCCCAAACAGTGTGTGTAAGGTCTATAAGCAGAAAGTCTAGAGATCTAGACGCATTGGGGTCCAGAGAGGTGATGGTGGTGATGAAGGTGGAGATCGTGGTGATGGTGACGGTGGTGGTGAGTGTGACTGTGAGCGTCAGTGTGAGTGTGAGTGTCTGTGAGTGAGAGTGAGTGTGAGTGTGAGTGTGAAAGTGAGTGAGAGTGAGAGTGAGTGTGAATGAGAGTGAGAGTGAGTGTGAGTGTGAGTGAGAGTGAGAGTGAGAGTGAGTGTGAGTGAGAGTGAGTGAGAGAGTGAGAGGGTACGAGTGAGAGTGAAAGTGAGTGTGAGAGTGAGAGTGCACGAGGTTTCCTTTGCGCCTGCCACGCAAAGCGACCACCATGAGCGAAAATGCACACGGCACCACAACGAGAGCGCAGTCGTGACAAGCACTCGCCGCCGCCGCCACCCAGATTCGCGAGCCTGCAGTCGAAATGCACGTCGACGATTTTGAGAGGCATGAATGTAATTACTGCAAATAGCAGCGAATTAGCCGCGCACGCCCGCGCGCCCCAGCGATCTAAGCACACCGTAAGAACCCCTAAGTGTGTCCACACTGTTTGGGGAATACTCGCTTGTGCAGTACACTTGAGATTTTTCTCTCTTGCACACTTATGGCTTGAAGACTCAGGATGGTCCAGGATGCAGAAAAGAACCTAGAACAGGGCGAGTTACGTACCCGCGCCAGTGGAGATGGACTACGCACCGTCGGAACCAGGTGAGCCCCACCCCCAAGATGCAGGTGAGTGTAGGATATTATATTATATTATATATTTGCTTGTTAGTGCTTGAGTGTAGCGCTGAAGGCCCCACCCCCCACCCCCAGGATGCAAATAGTATAAGATGGTTTGTTCGTTAGTGCTGCAGTGTAGTGCTGAAGGCCCCACAGCGCACGGCCCAGGAAGCAGGTGAGTGTAAGATGTTTTGTGTGTTGTTGCATTGAGTGTGGTGCTGTAAACTTGTTAGTGATTGACCGCCCAGAATGCAGTTCATGAGTGTGCGTGTTAGTACTGCAGTGTACTGTTCTAGTAGGCCCCACCCCTTCAAGTGCACAAATGAGTGAAATCTTGGCTGCGCAAGTGAGTGTCCGGCCAGATGGAATGATACCCTGGGATCTTTGGGACCCAAAGAGCAGCAAAGCAAATGGAGGACGGCTGTTCTGATGTCGACATCTTCCATGTGTTCATCAAGAAATACCCGGTCTCAAAAGAGAAGTTTGGCAAACCCACCAAAGAGTTACGTGCGCACCATCACTGCTGGCTGCATGCCCGCCATCCTCCGGGACGGCATGCTTATGCGCGATGCTGACAAGCGGCGCAACAAACGGTGGCATCCATGGAGGCCCATGGCCCGTGGCATTGGGAACATTGACAACGGGGTCAAGATGCAAGGCCTCGCTGGGGAAACCATGGTAGTTGTGGTATGTTGTGGCTGTGTCCGGTGCAGGTGGCTCAGCAGCTGGCCTCCGTCGTCCGTTCTGTGACCGAAGCATGTCATACCATGTGGGACTTCCACGAGGACGACGTACTGATCGATCAGCTGGCATCCCCGGATCCTCATCTCACAGTTCTGGATGTTTTTATGAAGCCTTCCGAGTTCCTTGGCACAAACCTTGATTGAGTCAGAGTTCCTTCAACCAACTCCTTCCACTTACATCATTTCACTTCTCAGGCATTCGGGATGTCTATATACTTTACCTTTAAATCTTCGTGAAGGAGGCCCCGCCCGATTGTAGCTTGGCGGCGGCGGCGGAGGTTTGATTACGGAAAGCTGTATCTCTGTCATGTATGGGCATCATTGAATATGGGGATGCACGCCCATGAATGCCCAGGGATCCAACAAGGCCTTGCAACAAATCTCGCATCAACCCCTAAAAACATCTACCTCAAGGTGGTTGCCTGTTTGAGGACGAAACATGTTGCAACCCATGCAGTGGCTACGCAGCTGCGCCAGGAGAAGCAGCAAAGAAAACTGCACCGGGACGAGAAAATAACGCAAAGAAAACTGCACCTGGACGAAGAAAAACAACAATAAAAACTGCACCTGGACCTGGACAAACAACTGAAAAAAACTAAGTCGTTTTCAGGACAGAGCTCTGCGCGCAAGCTAGACTGTCGCACAGCAAGGTTATTTGTATGAGCTGCAATCTGGCGCGAATTTCCACAGGGAGCACAAATGTGCCACAGGGCGGAAAGGGACAAGTTCTGATTCTTTCAAAGACCCACTAGATCCTGGACATATGGATTTTTCCAAAAAGGAGATAAGAATGCCCCCGCTTTCAAAAGGATGCCAGAGGGAAGGGACATTGACTCTCACTCTTGGCATTGCGAACCTCGAGCATCCTCGAGCGCCGCACCGATGGAGATAGCCCAATTATCCCTAACAAATTACATTCACGAGTTTGGGTTAGGACAGCTCGCTGTGTGTACATGCAATGTTGCGGACGAGTCGCATACCTGTTTCAACTGTTCCAACTACTGTTCACGAAACCGGTCCTGCCTGGAACATATTGATGCTTTTAATATTGTATTGTTCTTGATGAGGGTATTGTATTGTTCTATGTCCCACTTCTACTTCCATCAGCCCTTAGATTCCGCTTCCATAGTATCATCAGCTTCATCAGTCTTCAACACGCCTTTTGCGAACCGAGGATTTCAAGGATCCTCTGGAGGACTTGGAGGAAGAGGCCATGATTCGACTCTTAGATGTGCCGGAAGAGCATGAGGCGAGGTATTTGCGGGAGGGATTTTTGGGAGTGAAGGTAGGTTGAATAGGTTGAATGCCGTACATGTCCACCAAATAGCCAAAAAAATGAAAGATTCCCCTGGACCCTGTGCGCAACTTCCATAATTTGGGGGCACACCTAAAAAAATTGCAAGCCAGGCTCATCCAAATTATGTGGACATTTCTGATAGTTGGACATTGTTTTTTTGTTTCTTAAATTAAGACGATGCACTCTATAGACTCATATAGACTCTATCATAACTCAATTCAGATTTTATAGAAACATACAGAAGCAGTAATTGTCTATGTAGATTGTTGCCAAATTGTATTTGCCAAATTATCAGGACACCCATTTTATAGAAGGAGTGCGTGGCGAGGAAGGTTCAGGACCTATTGGGTGAGGGTTTAGGACACACATTTTATAGAGGCATTTGGCATTTGGCATTGAGTGGCAGGGCCAGCAATTTGGCAATTTCGCAGGGCCAGTAATCGTGCCGCGTTGTCGTCTTCTTTTTCGTTTCCACGAGCAGCCACTATAAAACCACAAACCAACCGACATGTTTTATATGTTTATGGATGTTTATGGCACTTTGCTGATTCAAAGTTTGCACTCGGGAACCCTCCCTGATTTTGGCTCGATGTTTGCACGTTTTGGTGTTGGAGGGGGCCAACTTTATAGTGGGAACACCTTATAGCTCGGTTTTTCAATTTTATAGAGATAGATTTTCTATGTGCGTTGCTCGTTTGTTTGATTTTATGGAGTGGCAATTTTCTCAACGAGCTCAAAATGACTTTTTATAGTGGGGGTGCACGAGCTGCACCCCAACCTCATACCGGGATTTACCAAGAAATAGACTCGCACGCGTTTCGTCAGACGCAGAAAGCCTGAAGTTGACACTGGTCCTCTAACCATTTCTTGGACCGACACCGGTGATGACACCACATCGTCGATGCCGGTCGAGCGCCGGAAGTTTCTGTGACCGGTCGACGTCGGCAGGTGGCACATCTTCAGGAGATTCCCGAGGACGAGTGGACCCGGCGGGTGGGTTAAACATATGTAAACATCTATGTTAAAAGAACAAACATATCAAGTAGTAACAATTAATAACAATAAGAACAAACATAATTCATACGACTAAAATTAATTTCAGTGTGATGTGATATCGTGATAAGGGGTGGACATGACCCAGAGCCAGATGATGCCAGATCGGATTCACACGAGGCACAACCGAAAAACCCACCGGATTACCTAGAACTACATGCAGGCCAATGGAATAGCTCCCAAGCTCAGGTTTGGTGGTACTTCGAGTCACAAGAAGGTAAGTCCCTCTCTTTGAGGTACTTTGGATAAAATCTTGGTGTCCCCACCATATTCCAAGGGTTTGCATATGATTTCTTCATGGGTCTCTCCGCCCAGGAGCTCATCGTCGTTCATCAGAGCGACTTCCCCAAGTTGCACCCTGGCTGCGTTGGGCGCCGTTGGGCGCTCGCAAGGGTGGAGGAGTTTTCAGGTGGTTGGGTGGTGGCACCGGCCGTGACAGGGAGTGGTGCCATGAGATGCCATGAGTGCGTGTCGTGTGTGCCTTTTTTTCGGGTGTTATTTTTTGCTTTCTGTGGCTTTAACACATCAGTCAAATGTGTTTCGATGTAGCAGTGCCGGGTGTTTTCACTGCAGAAGCACGTTGGGTCAAAGGGTCTCCCCCGGACAGTGGAGTTCTTTTTGATTTTTGCCTTTGTTCTTCCTCTTACTTGCAAGGTACCATTCAAGGTTTCAGGAGCAGCCGAGATGGCGAAGCAATCAACAAATCGAGTGCCCCAGTACTGTTGTCAGATGTTTTCGGTGTTTTCCCTGTTTAAGGGCCCAAGGGTCCCTTTCCAACGACAACTTTCCAGATGTACACCCCAGCAACCTCACTGCCCATCGGCCAAGGGTGGAGCAGATCCGGGCCTTCCTCGACGGCATCCAGGCATTTTCGACTCGACCGATTTTCCGGGCGATGGTGCAGCAAATTCCATATCTAAAGGCGGAGAACGCCAGCATTTGGGTCTAAAGCCTTGTTACGCGAAACCGAAGTGGACGGTGCCTGTTCGATCCTCGCAAACTGGTCATGGAGGTCTCTAAAGACCAATGGATTTAGAGAGGTCCATGTCGCTCTCTGTGCAGAAGTGTCATCCCTCAAACCTCATGGCGAAGCCCCCCTAATGGGTGTTCATCCTGCTTTGTTCTCTTTTCGGGAGTTTCTCAATCCATTTGAGACACGCCCGTTCCAGTTGAGTTGCCCCTTCTGCTTCCAACACCTCACGGTTTCGCCAAACGATAAAAAACTACTGCAACCGCGCATGAATGTTTGGAGTTTATATAGCACCAGCTTTGGAGTTGTGTTGGTGGATTGCACTTTGTACCAGCTTTGTGAGTCACCAGCTGGGTTTGGAAGAATATGGCAGCAAAAATTTACTCAGCTTGGATGCCTGGCTAACATTGTGACCAATCTTCATACTGGTTCATACACTTGGTAGAACGATATAGGCGTTGTGTGTCCATCGTGAAGCCAATTCGGTATGCAATGATGGTCACCTCAAGACCTTTGTGATGCGGACAAATGGACCAAGTCGATCAGGTGCGATCTGTAGGCTCCAAGGTCGTAGAGAATTTAAGCTGGTTGTATCTTTCTTGAAGCCTTGCCTAGGAGCCGGCAGAGGATGCAGAAGAGAAGAGTGAGAGTGGCTCCAGGCCACAACAGCTAGGTTCATGAGAAAACAAGGCCGAGTTAGAGAGGGTGGCGCTGATGATGAGCTTGATGGTGCTAATTCATTTTAACTTTACCTTCCCTGCAACCGACATGGTGACGTGGATGGCGGTGGCCCCTTCTCTTCGGTCTTTGGATTTCGTGGTCGCTCGAAATCGAGGCCCGGGACAGTCCACGCAACCATGAGGACGTTGGAGGGAGGTGAAAAAAACACTATACCAGGACCCTCCAAGGGGTGCCCTGTCTGGAAGCCTATAGGTCCAGCCAGGACACCCCTTGGAGGATCCTGGTGTGCCAAGCTTCCCTTTTTCGGCCACATTGAAGCTGGAGCCCCGGCGAATGACTGGACGTCGGCGAATGACTAAGCAGAGGTCTGGCCGCGGAGATGGGCCAAAGACCACTCGACCCGAAGAATGACCTGCAGGTTTACGGTACGGTACGTAAGTTTGGTTTGTTTGTTTGTACCAGTGGGTTTGAATGATTCCCAGGTTATGTCGGTTATGTGAACCATGCACAGTCAGGACATGTCAGGTGGCGCGACTCCCGGCAAAGACAGACTAGGTCCCAATGATTGTTTAAGCTATATATGTTTAAGCTGTCCAATTTTGTCGTTCGCTCACCAGGCTGCCGAAACTTGAGACCATCTTGCCAGGTGACAGATTGGAGTTTGGCGATCCCACTTCCAAGAGCACATCTGCAGGTTTTATTCTATATCATCGTAGATTGAGCAGATTAGATGGCACAAAAAAAACAAGTTCGCTGCTCAAACGGATGAACCCCCATCTTTTCAAAACCCATTGGAGTGCCAGTGCCATCGAACCTCTTTTACATTTGCTCTTGGGGGGACTGGTTCAAACGATGTCTGTGCCGTGGCTGTTTGAGGCTCCGCTAGAAAGTTGTGTGGCCAATGGTGCCGGAACCATCCAGAGGGAAGGCGTTTGGCGTTTCTGGAACATTTGTTGAAGCAACTCAAGTAACAGCCTGTCAGATTACTACAGATGATGCTTTGAGGGAGTCCTTTCTTCAAAAAAGGACACATCGACTGGGATGAGCCGCTTCTGAAACCGAGTCAAGAGAAAAAACATGAAAAGGGAACACATGTGCCATGGGGCAAGTCGATATGATTTTTTGTGGTGTATCCCGTTGGCCAGTAGCAACCGTTTGAGGTTTTATCCTGCTAAGTAGCGACTAGAACCCCCTTATTCACTTGCTCCAACCATATGAAGCGCCAACTGACTTATCAACATCCGATTTGGTTCGAAAAAAAGCCCGACGGGTCATCCAAGATGAAATCGAGAGACTATCCCAGAGCATCCATCCATGGGACTGGAATAGTTACTTTCAGTGGGGTTTGGGTCATACATGGGGTAAATGATGGTAAATGTATGTCACTATTCTGATCAAGTATGGTTTCGGTAATATCCATTGTTGGCCAGAGACCTCACAAGCAACTTCATGTGGAGTGCGGGAAGGGAGTTGCCTCGGAGTTGACGCGAATAAAAAAACAACTTGATCTCAAAGTGAGGGAATTTCTTGTGAACCTTTTCAATCACACCCCTGCATATTCGCTGCCACAACTAAAAGCAGAACGAACTGACCTGGGGCCTCGATCCCCACCTTTAGGGACCCCACTTCCACAACAACATCATCCACTCCTATTTCGCTCCATCTGAGCATGGCCACGGTCAAGCCATTACCATGCGCGCTTTGCCGGCGCGCACGACTTCGGTGGCAGATCCAGGCACAGTTCAGAGCGTGCTGCATGGGCAGGAAACATTGCAAAGACCGTGTTGTTTGCATTTGATTTATAGACCTGGATGTTCGTTGGTTTGAAACATCAAAGGAGACACCCGTTGACCACCTGAATGATGAACGTGAACTCCGTGTGAACCAACACCATTTTGGACATTGTCGACTTGCATGTTCTAGGTCATGTAAAGTACTGTACCCAGCAATATAGAAGCATTTCATGAACTGTGTGCAAGTCTAGAATATAAGAGAAGGGTTTTAAAGATTAGAACGCATAGTAGTTAATGCCCACTTTTGTCACGTCCCTGAGCATCCAACCACTGTCGAACCGGCTTGGATCTGCGACAGCTAGAGGTGGCATTGGTGCTGCTAGCAGCACAGAAAGGCCTTGGCTTGACTATATGTTTTTTTTCAGGGCCGGATTGATGGCATATATTCTTGTTATGTTGTGTTAAACACCTGATGTAAATATTTGGGCTATTTGCTGGATCTGCAAAATGCACGGATGTTCTCATCCAAACAAATGTCTGTTCAGCTGCCACAACCATCATATCTCAATGTGTGGGCCGTGTGGGCCGGTATATTGACCTCCAAACTCCGCGCGTGACATCGGTGACGACTATTGGTTGATGACATCAATCCCAGTCGGTGATGACAATTGCTTTTCAGACACGACATGAGACACGAAAAACGCTGCGATTCGGACTCCCAGCGATTCGGACACCGGCAGCGAGTTGGGGGTAGCGAAGCCAGTTCGAAGGGGAGCGACCGTGGGAGTCCTCCAAGCCAGTTTAGCCAGTTTTGGGAATCATTTCTTGGGCCCAAGATGGAGGGAACATGAATCAGTACAGCTCATATCTGGCTTCACACTGCAAGCTGTTGGATGCATTGTGGCCTGAGCCAATATATGCATATATATGCCATGCGTGCTCACATCAATCCACATCGCACACGATGTCGATGTTAGATTCAGAGGGATAGAACATGCTGCCCCCGAGCTGCAACCCCACGATGTCCATGTTTTAATTGTAGGTCGACATGATGCACCCCACGTCGCCAACTTCACCGACCAACACGCTCCTTTTCGCCAGCACGACTTGGGTCCCGCAGGCACTGTGGGTTGGTGTGGAGTCCACAGAAGGCTGAAAGGGAGGATGGCTGGGTCGCACTGGAGATGGGTCAAGGCTCAATGGTTGGGTGGTGGTTTCAGATTTATTCTCAACCTTTACTTGGGATGACTCAACCCACTGACCCATATTTTGGTGCTGTCCCATTACCAGTCACGGTCGGTAAAGAAATATCACTATTCTAGCAAAAGGCTAAGACTGAAAGCGGAAAGAACATCCACTGTTACGGGAAATGGGATGATATATATATATATATATACCCAACTCATATTCTTCAAGTGCCACCCAGGTGTTCACTCGTGATGGGAGAACACCCACCAGGCACAGGCATGCCCAGGCATGCCCAGGCAATCAATATAGCGTATGTCAGACTCATTGGATATTCCGTTCCATGTTTAGGGTACACACTCCGTGAAATCATGGAAGTGGAGTTCACCACTTGTTTCTGTTTGGTATGCGGAAAATGCACCTTCCAGCCTTGCCATGCAGTTCCATGATTGTTTCCGGGAACGTATGTGGGTTGGAACATGAACCGCAGACACCAGGGAGAGGTGCCCGATGTCCGCCGATATCAGCACAGAGGTCCCAGGTCGTGATTGGTGGAACGTGCTTGGTGTGGAATGCCTCTGAGGCAGTCCAGCAGTGGGACCCTTAAGATGCCCTCATTTGGAGATGGAGCAACATGTGATGCCCTCGAAGCAAGCTTCGACTTGGCGGCAGTCCAGTTCCTGGAACATGGATTTTCTGTTTGGAACAACGGAAACTTCCCAATGGATTCATTGGATTCATTGGATTCTCTTTTTGGATTCATTGGATTCATTGGATTCTCTTTTTGGATTCATTGGATTCTCTTTTTGAACGAGTCAATCATTTTAGGCACCTTCTTCTCATTTCCAAACGACGACTGCTAGACAAAAAAGACAACTCTTGCTTAGGCTTAGTCTCACATGATTGGCTGATTTTGCCACATACCAAATTGTATTTTGGAGGCCATATTCAGCAAAACCACACCATTTCCGCAGTGCATTCTGGTCACAACATGAACTATTGTTGTGAAAGTGGGGTCCTTGGATTAAACCCACGCATGACGCTCTTCAGCAGCTTCTGACCAGGGAAGAGGTAGGAGCTTCATGAAAACCCAGGCACAAGTAATGAACAACAAGCCTCACTCGAAATGAAGCTCGATAGGAGAGAGTGAGTATGGAAGAAAATCCATCTGTGCTCCACTTGAAGATGTCGGAACATCGTCCAGTCCATCTGGTGTCGGAATCCCGCCCAGTCGATGTTTGGATCCAAGTGCTCTTTCTTCTGAGATTCTCACTTTTGGGGGGAATCTGAAGTAATTATATAGTTACCTGAAATCTGTACAATTGCAAGTTATAAAGTCCATGATCGAGATCCTTTATCGCATCTTCCAGCGACCCAAACATACAGAGCATAATCTCAGAATCTCCTCTAAAGATGGACACGAAAAAACCTTAAAAACATCAGGGCCTAGCTACGGCTCTAATTATTTAGCATGCATTAGCTATATAACCCCTAAAACGACGACCACATGCACCGACCCTATACTTTCATCCCAACTTTCATCGCTTGAACCGCGCTCCATGGAGCCTCACTGGTGGCGGTACCTGATCCTCCCGACCCTGCTCGCGGTCGCGCGACCCTGCCGCCGTCACTGGGGCGGAAAACGACCGGGACCGGATGTTTGGGAGGGGGATCCCGCCGGCCATGGATGTCCTTTTACGGATGTGGTGCGTTGATTTGACGGAAACAGGCCATGCGAGCCTGGGATATTTGCAGATTTGAAGCGATTTCGCTGAATCAGTTGACTAGTGACTAGTGTTAAGAAAGGTGCAGTGAAGATGGTTCAGCTGGTGGTCACGTGTTTGGATTGTATATAAGTGTTTTTTCTTTTCGTGGTCGGCAATCTACAGGAGTTCTTGAAGTGTTTGTCCTTCTTAGTCTTGTCACGTGCCTGGTGGATGGAACATGTTTGCCAATGATTATGGTCTTCATGATGTGCCGGTTTTCTTTTGTTGGCAGCTCCTGCATTAATTATGCAATCTGACCCTACCCTGCTATTGCACCCACAACTTGTAGGTACAAACTTTTTTGTGCGTCAGCAGTGGTCTTTGGCATGGTTGCGCGATAGCACAGGGCAAGTATATACAATATATTGTAATAGTTTTATAATGATAATAGTTCATGATGCAATAGGATTGTCATCGAAGCTTCATAGAATTGAAGCAACCTGCTGGAATGAATGAATGTAACATTTTGTGTTAAAGCCTTTCAGTAAGCCATCCTACAACAAGAGAAACTGAACGATGGGCTCATGAGATTTCATCTCTTTGTGTCGATACGGTCAAGCCATGGTCTCAAGTGGTTGTAGCGGGTTAAAGTTGATTGTCATCCACTCTGGGGCCTCCACCTCTAATGTTTGACCCTTCTGTACATCAGCATGATTTGACCACATGTGTTCTCAAACCATAAAGCTTTTGTTCATCAAGCGACGTTTGGCCATGGTTAACAAAGTGAAACCTATGGTGTCGTCCACAGCCCACTGATAGAACATTTTGAATGTTAGACTAAAACCTGTACCATTTTTGTGTGTTTTTGTTGGTATGTACTTCTGAACCATCCACTTGAAATAATGGCATTGGCTGGTTTGCAAACCACTAGACCAATCCTATGTAGAGCGACCACTCCGTTTTGTTTTCTTTTTTCTTTTCCAGTGACCGAGAACAGGCGAAGATGTTCACTACGACTTCACGGAATGCCACCAGGGCCCCGCCCTCGACGGTGGCCCAGTGAGGGAAGCCTTTGCCTATGTGGACCGCGAGTCCTGCAACCTCCGGGACAACCACTCGGTGCCTGGGCGGCCCATAGGTACCACCCTTCACATGCCACCTCCTTGAAAAAACCATCTCTGACCCCATACTAACATAAACTAACATGAGTCACCATGTTCAGAGACTATCTGGGATCCAAATATGTTCGACCAGGGATGCAGCTAGTGGATGCAGATGGTGTTCAGCCTTTCTGTTTTGGGATGGGATCCAACCCGCGGCTTCTTGTTACTAGTAGCTTCAAAGACCTACTACAGTAGTAGCGTCCTTGCTCCTAGTAGCGTTAAAGACATACTAGTAGCTTTATTGGTAGTAGCTTCAAGTTTGATCTTTTTTGGTTGGCACGTCATGAGGTGCGTCTGCCGCCGCCGCTGTTGGATTTGCCCTGCGAGCAGCCCTGCGGTGCCAACCGCTTTTTGCAGCTCAAGGAGACAACACGACGCCGGATGGTTCGCAGTTCGCGCGACCAAATGTTGACGGTTGTCGTGGTGAATGGGGTCATGGGAGTGTGACTGCTGACAACATAGGGACTGCCTGCCCCACGAGTAGATGGGTAGAGTGGTTGAAAGGAGTAGATGGCACTGGCACCCCAAGATGTCTTTAATATGGGGATCCATATGGATCCATATAAACCGTTGAACTTAGGGATTGTACTCCAAGGTGGGTGGTGGAAACTTGTGGTGTTTGAGAGGGAAGATAGCCAACCAACCAGCAACGGTTTTTGTGATGTCTATTGATGTATACAATCCGAGGCACAGGAAAATAGGCATCGAGGCGACCCCTTGAGACCGAAAAAAGATGCGACGCAGGTCGTTCTTCGCTTCCAAGTGAATGATGTCTATCGTGAAATGTGTCTATCAGTCACTGGAGTGAGTCAGTGCCGTCAGTGCCAACCTAGGTGCATTTCATGTTTTAGCCTCCATGCTAACACACACACACACACACACACACACACACACGTGGGATAGCGGGAAGTAGCATGATGCTCCCATGCTCGGTTTCCACTGCGACGTGATTCATCGGTTTTGTTTGGAAAAGACCCCACGCACTGGAAACTCTCCCTGGATCGTGGAGGTTTAAAACAACCGGTTTGTAGATGAAACATGTCTTCCAAGGGGCCATGTTCCACTTCCATGTTGGTTCCACGAACTGTAACGGGTCGTTCGTCCTTTGGGAAAGGAAGAGCATGCACGTTCACAGTGGCACCTTGCGCGTGCAGGAAGATCATCAGGCTTCACGCTTGAAGGTGCCTGGCGGGCCTGTTGAACGGTGGAAACATGTGGAAACCATAGACCTGAAATAGGATTTGCCAGGGGGTTACAGTCTTAATATGTCTTAAATTATGTCTTAATATGGTCCACCGTAAGAATCCTTGGGCAGGGGTCCGGGCCCTCCAAACCCTATGTGTTGGTTTCGGGCCCGGATTGGGCATATGATCAACAGAGTGCCTCAAGTCCAGCCACGAGCACTGTCCAGCCCACCAGTGCCAGTCCGCCCGTCTCGTTTCACTTCGTTCGGTCTCCGTTGGGTCTTCGTTCGACCCATGAGACTCCTCCAAGCGAACCCTTCGTGATTTGATATGGAGTGCCCCACAGGGGCCCAACTCTTGGGTGTGTATTAGGTAGAGGTAGACCTCCCAGGCCACCAACCCCTGGAAGGTTCGGCAGAGTTAGACCAGTCTACCGGTCTAGTACCTCCCCTCAAATACACACCCCCGTAGTCCGATCGCGCAGAATTTCAGGCGGTGACGAGGAGCCGGAACGGATCGCGATCGTTCCACTCGCCAAGGTGAATTGCATCCCATGTCCTCGTGGTCGCTTCTCCTTAGGGGGCGGCCTTTATGTGGACGGCTCCACCAGCGATTGGTCCAGGCCTCCACCGCGGTGTGAGACGTCACGCGTGGCGTTTCGCGTTGGGTTTTGTGTGAGACGTCCGGCATCGGAGGTGTGAGACGTCCGTTTGTTTATAGGGCATCCAAAAATTCACCAAGCTGATGCATGGTAGCACCTCAACTGACAATTGACAGCTGATCAATCTGATTTGACAGCTACTTGGCTTACAACAAAATCAACTCAAGCCCTGGGAGGAGTTTGGTGATGCTTTCATTTGTCAAATCCGGACCGGATGCCGCTATAGTCACAGGCAGAGCCTTTAGCACGTGAAAAACAAACAAATTCAATAACAGGAACAAAGAAGAACATCCGGACCACAATCATGTCTCCAAATGTGTGAACACAGTGTAGCCTACATCAAGAGACATGATGCACTCATTTGGAGACCGTTAGAGACCTCATCAATGACTTAAGAGAGTGTCAAACGTCCACGTGGGGATGCCAGTAATGTTCAACAGTTCGTGGGTCCGGCGTCGCAGGTTCCCTTAGAGGAAGGTAAGACTAGTGGTAACAAGGGCATCACTACTAGTAGCTATAGAAGCGAGTTCAGCTAGGTGCTCAACACATTTGAAGGCCATGGATCTATATACACTCTGGATCTAGCGTTTGTCGTAGGTTTGGAAGATCAAGCTGCCAGCTAGGTCTACCAAGAAACCCAAATGGATGTTTTTTGATGTTTTTTGTGTTCAAACAAGTTCGCCCAAAAACAATTTGTCCAGACGGCGATATTCGTGTGGTCGACAAATACTGTCAAACGTGGGTTTGCCACATAGGCAGCCGAATTGGATTTGAATGGTTTTGAGCGTATTTTGTTCAATAATCAAATTAAACACAAGTTCAATATGTTTCAAAATGTCTTAACCACATAGAATACGAGGTAGATACACTTTTGGTTTCATTTGGATACGAATTCGACTGAATTAATTTTGTACATTGATTTGCCCATACAGTTATTTATGGCCATTTACATGTCAGATACAGCGGTATTTGTCCAAACTGGTCTGACAAGGACGAGTGCATTGCCTGATTCGGGCCAGCACACAGCCATGAGATCCAAATTCGACAGTTTGTCCTCAAGGGCAAATCCGCGTCTTCATTCAGCATGATGTGTATAATTAATATGATTGTATCATATATGCGGTGTTTCATCCAAATACAGCCTTCGGACCAAAAAAGGGTGTGCGGTCCTGCCCTTTCCAGGGGTTCTCTTGCGCCGACCTACATGTTTGACATGCCAGTACCACACTGAGATACATCCATGATGTATTCATCGTTTTATTCATCATTTGGTGATTCTCCCTCCGACTGCCTCTCGCAACCAGGCCTTGGCCTGCCGGGCTGACGACCAGCTGCTTGTACCGCTCGTCGGATGCTCGTTGGGTCTTGGGCGGCTCGGCGCGCTTGACGTGTGCGCCTTGGGTGGAGCAAGACAGCAAGTGGTGGAGCCGAGAGTGAGCGGGAGTGGCCGGCACCTGCAAAGGATGTCAACATATGTCCAACATGATATCAAGTAAGATATTGATTTGATCATTTGAGGAGAGAGTTTTTGAATCTCAGGGACAAACAAACTCCATCAAACTCCATCCTATCGGTTGTGAAGATGACCTTCCGAAATGGATTTCTTTCAAAACGCGTTCGAGTAAAAACAACTAAACCTCTCCATCATCATGTTCAGCCACTTCATCCTCCGTTCGCTGCAGCTTTCGCTCGCTCCGCCGAGCGAAGCGACTTAACACCGCCGTCCCTGTCGGCCGCAGAACGCGGTCCGACGCGCCGTGGTGGTTTACAACCCGCCCTGCGCTGTCGTCGTGGCCGTGGCCGCTGGCGTAGACGGGCCGTTCGCTTGGCCGTTTTGCAGGTGCTCCACGTGGGCAGCTTGCGATTGGAGACTCGTGCAGGGACCTGGAACCAGAATCTCCCAGACCAACTCCTCGAGGCCCGAGATCCGGGACGAGCGGTGTCGGAGCGGTCGGACCGGCTGCGTTTTCTTGGTTTTTCGTTTGTGGAATCGTTTTGGAATCGTTTTTGAGACAAGGGCCTACCTAGAAAGGCCTAAAGAACAGTACCGTTAATCAATAAAGAATGAGGTAGCACATGATATCAGATATCACAGTGTATCACTACTTTGAGTCTCCAATGACCCATTTACTGTAAATTTGCCTTTCCAAGAAAAAGATGTTTCTGAAAGAAAACACATGTTTTTGCATATTTCACAAAATTGATGTTTATCTTTTTGCTTGTGCCCTGTCAGATCCTCCTGTCTTTAAGCATCCGCACTGGACGCGCTCTGTAATGTTGGATGTTGATTAGTAAACCGGTCTTCAATAATGCTAAATTGGTCCAAAATTATTCCAGACCCCATGTTTGAAAAAGTGGGCCTCAATAATGCTAAATTTTGGGGGGACCCTATGTTTTTTTAATATTGGACACTTAATAAAGGTGTGAATTCCTTCTGAACCCTGTCCACCTGCACTCCCCCCTCCCTTCCCAGGGGATGGAGATTTTTTCCGGATTTTGTTTTCGATGTTTTTCCGGTATGTTTTTCACATTTTTTCCCTACTGTTTTTGCTTTTGCTTTTTGCTTTGGCTTCTGCTGGGAGTGCAAGGGCAGGGGACGAAGCGCCAAAGCCAGCGTGATGGAGAGAAAGGGAGGGAAACTTTTTGCTTTGGCTTCTGCTGGGAGTGCTTTCCAAGCACTAGGAGCAGCAGAAAGGGACAGAAAGGGAGGGAACAGAAAAGGTATCCCACTCACTATACGGACTTCTTTGCGGTTGTCTTTGGGCTTCACTGGTTTCGGGTTTCTTTGCCACATCCTGCTCTAAATTTTACCCTCCAGTGGCTCACCAAAGGGTGAGCCAACTTGGGAGGGCAACATCCTTCTCTAAATTTTACCCCTGCATGGCCCACAAAAGGGTGAGTCAAGTTGAGATGGCAACATCCTTCTCTAAATCTTTACCCCTGCATGGCCCACAAAAGGGTGAGTCAAGTTGAGATGGCAACATCCTTCTCTAAATTTTACCCCTGCATGGCCCACAAAAGGGTGAGTCAACTTGGAATGGCCACTTCCTTCTCTAAATGTTACCCTCAAGTGGCTCACCAAAGGGTGAGTCAACTTGGGAGGGCAACATCCTTCTCTAAATTTTCCCCTGCATGGCCCACAAAAGGGTGAGTCAAGTTGAGATGGCAACATCCTTCTCTAAATTTTTACCCCTGCATGGCCCACAAAAGGGTGAGTCAAGTTGAGATGGCAACATCCTTCTCTGAATTTTACCCCTGCATGGCCCACAGAATGGCCACTTCCTTCTGCAAATTTTACCCCTGCATGGCCCACAAAAGGGTGAGTCAAAAGCGGCGAGCTTCCCACTCCTACGCTGGCCACTTGCAGCAGCACAGGGCCTTGACTGCAACCAGCGTAGGAGTGGGAAGCTCGCCGCTTGCAGCAACACACCCTCGTTAGACCCTGGCCACTGCAAGCAGCACAGCTGTGGAAGCTGGCCACTTGCAGCAGCACAGGCCCTAATTGCAAAAGCAGAATGCAAAAGCCGAAGCAGAAGCAAAAGGCAAATGCAGACGCAAAAGCAGATGCAAAAGCAGATGCAGAAGCAAAAGCAAAAAGCAACAGCAAAGGGCAAAAGCAAAAGCAGAAGCAAAAGTAGAAGCAAAAAGCAATAGCAGAAATAGCAGAAGCAGCAAAAAGCAAATGTAGAAGGAAAAGCAAAAGCAAATGCAGAAGCAAAAAGCAAAAGCAGCAGCAGAAGCAAAGGGCAGAAGCAGAAGCAAAAAGCAAAAGCAGTAGGGAAAAAAAATCAAAAAAATCCAGAAAACAATTGAAAAAAATCCAGAAAAATAGGGGTTCCTTCCCAGGCAAGCAGATAAGAAAAGTGTTTTCCACGGGAAAAATAGATCTGCTCATGAGATCTTCCTTTACATAGCTCCTGAGGCCAATGATTATGATTCATTAGCTGATATAGGTTTCGCTAGGTTTCTTCAAAACTGACCGCTTTCCACAACCACCAAGTCCTAATTGAATCCTTCATACAACATTGCTCCTCAACAAATTTTCAAGGTAGTAGACCAGGAAGGCACCTGATCATCAATAATAGATTTGTTTTGGGGTTCTCAATTGTGAAAAGTTTTTTCCACTGGAAAAATAGATCTGCTCTACTACTGCTGCTGCTGCTACTGCTACTGCTACAACTACAACTACAACTACTACAAAGAGAGAAAGGAAAATGAATACTACAATCAATTACCCTAGGAACCCAGATTTGTTTTAGTGGTAGTTTATTGTAGATGGTCTCCCATTTGTTTGAGGGAGGGGGGGGAGGTGGGGGCCCCCTTTACTAATCAGGATCCAACATTACCTTCTTTGAGTCCTCATCTCTGAAAAAGCCTTTTTCCAGCAAAAACACACAACTCTTAGACCATGCCAACAAAAACCACCAAAAGGTCAAGATGGAGACTCAAAGGAATATAGTTGGTAGACTACTGGGACCTGCGTTGGAGGGATCTGGGACTGCCGCTTCCACTCCGCGGCACCGAAGACTCCGCTCCGTCCGCAGGCGCCGTTGCAGTTGGTCGATACCTCCGCGTGCGCCGCTTACCGGCACGGCGCAGAGCGGTCGGACCGGGTCGTGTTGAGATAAGGGAAGGGAACATAAGGATGAAGGAAAGTGTGTCGCACAGCAGGTGATTGGCCAATTCCTTCAGTTCTTTGGCAGGGGTCCCGGTATACTATAGCTGTTTGTTGGGGGGATATCCTAAAAGCATTGGGGCTTTTGGGAATTGGACTTCCTTCATTGGACGTAGGACCGACCAGGAAAGGTCATTGCATGCCACGGGTGGGGCGCGCAGGTCGTCGTCACACCGGGGCTGACTCCGAAGTCCCAGCAACGACTGTCAAGTTTGGATAAGTTTGGATGTTTCCAGTTCCCGGAAGGTTTTTCTTTCCCGGACTGGCTTCGTTTTCAACGTCGACTTGTGTTTGTTCCCGGAAGACGGTGGTTTTCGGGGTTCCGTCCGCCCGGTGTTTTTCGTAGCTGAAATGCCTGGTGCTTTGCCACGCTCCCATTATCCCAGAAGGTGTATTGTTTTCGAGTTGTGGTTGACAAACAATGGCTTCACGCAGGCTGGCTCGCTGGAAGAAAGTGAGCACCGGGGAAAAGAGTGAAGGGCTTTAATAGCATGTTTAATATCTTTTCCCTTACGGCGCAGCCGAGCTTAACACAGCTGCACGCACAGATCGATGAACAGAAACGCAGCTGAAATGTGAGGCGCGATGACATAAGCTCTATTTGTTCGCAGCACGAAGCCAAGAAGCTTCCACCCAAGCCGGAAGACGGGAATGCCCCCTTCTTCCCGGGCCCATCTTCTACTGATCTCTCGACCCGCTTCGGTCGGGAGGTGCCGCAGGGCGGGACAACCCCAGCCACTAACTTGTTCGGCTACGGCAGCACACGCGGAGCCTGGCGGCCAGGTGTCTTGGGAGGGACAACACCGCCTGTTTCCTGCAGCTGCAGTGCAATTTCCTCCTGACAGTGCAGAGTGGCATGAAGAACAGATGGGTTGCGCCTGGCATGCCTGGGCACGCGTGAATCCGCACTGCCGAATGAAAGGCATGTGGGTGAGAGACGAGGGTCATGCGCCAATGCGAGACCAGGAGCCTGCGCCTCTGTGCAACTTCGCGCCTGGTGTGTTGGTGCGTCTTTGAGCCCTTGAACATGCCAACATGCCCGCCCCGCCTGCAGTGAGCTAGAGGGCGTTGGTTGGTTGGTTGCTTGGTCTCTTGGTTTCTTGATTTTTGATTGGTTGGCTTTGGTTCCCAGGCTTGCAGGTGTCTTCCCTGCTGTTTTATTGCTTCTTTGGTTGTGATGGTTTGTTCGTTTGTTTGTTTGTTTGTTTGTTTGTTGTTTGTTTGTCTGTTGGTTGGTTCTTTCTTGCTTGCTTGCTTGCTTGCTTGCTTTTCTGTTTCTTTGCTCTGTCTGCGTTTGTTTCATTATTTTCAGCTGGTGGGCTGTTGATTGGTTGGTTGGCTGGCTTGTTTGGTGTATGTGAAGCCCCTAGAGTCACAGGGAACCGTTCGTTTAACCTTTAAATGCGGGGGGCTCTCGGAGCCTGCGTGAGACGAGAGCCAACGAAGACGCTCACGCAGCGCTTGTGCAAACGTACCTGCCTTTGACTGCACCTGGGCATGTAAGTGCAGCTGGTGGGTCACATGCTGTTGGTCCCTGCTTTTAACTAGAACAACTTTCTCCAGCCTCTGCAGCGGGTCACTATCGGCAGACTTGCAGTGTATCCTTGTCGAACTTGGAGGACTTTGATGATTTCGAGGTTCATGGTCAAGCCGTGTTACATACTTTTACTTTGGCTTCTTAGGTGTTCATACCTAGGTGGGCGTGTGGCATGTGGCATTCAGTTCAGTACGCAATATCTCGAGTTTGTCTGGCCTCGTGCCAGCCCGGGGTGAGC